ACAGGGCCTGCTGCGAGGCGGTGAGCGTGCCGGCCTGCGCCTGCTCCTTCTCCTCCGACGTGGCGCTGAAGCTCGAGTAGGAGCTGGACGTGGGCAGCGAGCCCGCGTAGCCCGGGAAGGCGTCGTGGCGGAAGGCGGCGGGGAAGGCGGCCGCCTCGGCCTCCTCCTCCTCGTCGGCCGCGCTGTCGGTGGAGTTCTGGGCGCGCAGGAAGCCCACGTCGGCCACGGGCGCGTCCACGCTGGGCCGCCGGTCGCGCCGCCGCTCCTCCGGGCAGTAGAGGGCCGTGTCGCTGCAGTAGATGTCCCCCTTGTAGGGGGGCGCGCCCGGCTTCTCGGCCCCGTCGCGGAAGGCCAGGTCGCGGGCCGAGGCATCCGACAGGCGGGAGGACAGGCTGCCCGGGTCGGGCTTCTCCAGCACCTTGGCGATGACGCAGGTGGGGACGCTGTCGGCGTAGGCCGGGTGGCAGAGCGGGGAGGGCAGGCTGCAGCCGTGCTTCTCCATGTGCAGGCTCACGCGCTCCTGGAACTCCGAGGGCAGCTGGAACGGGACGGGACGGGTGCGAGGGGGAGGGGAGGGCGGGGACGGGTGGCAGTCAGCCCAGGACCCACAGGCGGGCGGAAAAAGCAGGACCTGCCCAGGGCGTCTCAGATACACCAGCGGGAGCCAGCCCAGGCCGCTGTACTTCACAAGCTCCCGGGGTTCCCCTGGTCACCGCTACCCCCCAGCCCACTCCCACTGGACCCCGCAGATCCCGGAGCCTAGACCCAGGGTCTGACTCGGGCCCCTCTTGGGGCTGCAGCCCCCTTATTTCCTCCCACATTTCCTCCCACTGAGGGGCCGACTTGCTCTCCCAGCTCCAGGGTCTGTGACCACCCCCCCCCCCCCCGCAGTCATGCGCCCTGGATGCTCCTGAACAGACAGAAACAGATGTGACAAAGATTGAGGGCCAGGGCCAGGCGCCCAGCAATTTCCGGGTGCCTGGTGTCTTGGGGGGACGTCCTGCTACTGTGTGATCTATTTTGTGAGTGTGTCAGGTGTGGCCCAGGCCCAGGGAGAGGGGATATGGACCGAGGCCTGCGTGAGGGGAGAGCATGGAGGGAGGGGCAGCCTGGCCAGGGAGGGGGGCCCTAGGCCAGCCTGGCCTTGACACCAGAGAGCCCTGGGGCCTTGGCCAGTCTTCCTGAAATGGGCACTGTCAGTAATTGTGCCCAAACCAAAGTGCAGGGTTTCTGTGAGGCTCCCACTGGGTCACTCTGCCCCATCAGTGCTCCAAGGACAGGCGGCATGGAGCAGGGACAAGGAGCAGCCTGCAGAGGAAACCCAGGGAAATGAGCGGGGCTGTCCCCTGGGCGCCCGCCACCACATCTCTAAAAGGCTGTGGGAGGGAGGAGGGGCAGAGGGGCTCAGGCACACCCAGCACCTTCCCTTCAAGGGAGGGGAGTGGCCTTGGAGTGGGACCTGCAAAAAAGGCTCCGTAATGGTGCTGGGGGGGTGGGGCCTGGCTGGGGCGGCCCACGTTACCTCAGACACCTTGTGGACCCTGCCGTAGGTCTGGCTGCACTGCAGCAGCTGGGCCGCTAGATTACAGTCCTTCCTATAGAGCTCCTGAAAGACAAGAGAAGGCATTTGGCGCAGGCCTGCCCCTTGCTGAGGTCCCTGCCGCCCTGACCGCCGCCCATTGGCCACACGGAGACCCAGTGGGCAGAGCTGGCTGTGCGGGTGGCAGGACAAGGATCGTCTCTGGGCCTCAAGCTCTTGCCTGCAGAATGGGGGCCTCGGCTCTGACCTGGAGCTGCTGGTGCATGGAGCGGCCCCTGCCAGGCGGTCCTGCTGCCGCCCCAGATGGGAACCTCCCGCAAGGTGAGGGCAGTGGGAGAAGGGCCCTCTGAACTCACAGAGGCCCCCCACATGGAGACAGGCCTGGTCTCCCTGTCCCTTGGCCTCCCGAGTCCCTCCAAAGAGAGCTCAGTGGACAGCGCCGGCACAAGGGGTGCAGAGGGAGCCCACAGCCCCTGCCGCCCCACGTCCCAGGCTCGCTGCTCACACTGCTTTCTCAGAGCATGACCTGGCAATGGAGGTGGCTGCAGGGCTGGGCAAGGGTCAGAGCGAGTCGGGGCAGAGGGCCTGTGTGACCCCAGGTCCAGGCGGGGACCAGCTCAGCCTCCTGAGCTGAAAACAGATGCAAACAGTAGGAATCGAGGGGGTTTGGTCTCATCTGTGGAAAATCTCTGTTGCATGTGCCTGTGGCTGGGCCTTCATTCCCGCCCCACCCAGGGACCCTCCGCCCTGAGGGCTCAGACAGTGAGGAGTCCAGGGCCCACCTGCTCCCAGGTCTCAGCTCAGCGAGGACCAGGTGTCCTGTGGCTCAGGGCAGCTGTTGACAGCGTGGGCACCCTGCTATCCTGCCTTCCTGGTCCTGGAGGCTCCCTCACCTCTGCTTTCTGTGCTGAGGCTGCTGCCCCCCATCTTGGCCTGCACAGTGGAGGGCACCTGGATCCCCACCCCCTCGATGCCTGCTTGGGCCTCCTGGGAAGGGCACAGTTGGCTGAGAGCTGAGAACTGACCCCCTGTGAGGCCCAGACTGGCTGCTGCCAGTGTCAGAGGGCTGTGGGCGCTGCTCGGCCAGCCGAGGTCAGCCATTGAGTCATTAACAGACTTCTGAGAGCTGCCCTGTCTGGGGCCTCCCCTCCTCTCCTCTGTGTGCCCTCCTTGGGGACCTCAGCCCATCTGCGGCTTTAAACACCTTGTGATGCTGATCTCCGCCCTAAACTCCAGACCCCGCTGTCCAGCTGTCTTCACGGCATCTCCACCTGGATGCACTGTGGACCCCAGCTCCTGCTGTCCCCGCTCCTGCTCCTCCCACAGGCGTCCTCAGCCCAGGAAATGGCAGGACCCCTCTCTTTCTCTCACACCCCACATCCAAAATCTAGGTCAATCCTGCTGGTTCCATCCTCAAACTATAACCAGAATCTGAGCCCTTCTCCCCACCTCCATGGCTGCCCTGCGGGCTGAGCCCCTGTCGTCCTTGCCCCGATTGTTGCCACAGCCTCCTCCTTGATCTTCCTGCTCCTGCCCTCGTCCCCTACCGTCTGTTCTCAGCAGCAGCCACGTGAGCCCAGTAAAAGAGTAAGTCTAGTCCTGTTACTCCTCTCTTCAGGAACCTTCAATGGCTCCCTATTCACTCAGAATAAAACCCAGATTCCTCCAGGAGACTATACAATGTGGCTTCCTGTTATCTCTCTGACCTCAGACCCTGGTTCCCCTCCCCGCAAAGAGCCCACTCTTGTCTCCTTGCTCCGGGCCCAACTTCGCCGCTGTGGTCTCCCTGCCTGGAAGGAAGGCTCTTCCAGGACATCCCGTGGCTAGCTCCCTCACCCCCTTCAGGTCTGGGCTGCCGCAGCCTCTTCCAGAAGCACCCTGTGGAAATGTGCTACCCTACAACCAGCAACTCCCTAGCACGGTTCCCTGCTTTATTTTCCCCCGTGGCATTTAGCAGTTCTGACACACTGCATGGCTGTGTATTTATCTTGTTTACTGTCTGTCTTCCTGGCTCAGATATAAGCTCCACGTGGGCAGGGGACTTTTTTGCTTGTGTTGTTCACACCATATTCTCAGGGCCTAGCAGGGTCTGACACCAATTAGTGAGTGCGTGGTCAGCTGTCAGGGGTCTGTGGAGGGCGGCCGGGCCCATTGCACAGGGCCCTTGAAACCGGGCCCCATGGTGTGCCACACGGCCCTGATGCCCACCGGGGTGGCTAAAGGCAGGAGTCCTGAGTGCGGTCAGGAAGCCCTGCCTTGAAGGGGATGATCTGCCTGGTGGTCCCTCCCTGGAGTCCTCTTTCCCTCCAGGGTCTTCCAGGCACCCTCGGCAGTGTGTCTCTGGGGAGGCAGCCCCTGTCTTCCCCCGACTGCCCCGTGCTCCTTGAGGCCCTGACCACTCTGTCCCTCCCCCTGCCCGTGTGCCAGCCCCCCGAGCCCGGGGGCCGCAGTGCCTGGGCCCGGCTCTCAGGGTCAGAATGGCCCGACACTCACGTTGTCCTCCGACAGCTTGTCGATGGTCACCTTGGCCTCCAGCAGGTGGCTGTTGAGGGCGACAATCTCGTGGCTCAGCGCTCGCTTCTCTTCCTCATAGTGCTGGCCCTGCGGGGGGCGGGGGCAGTGGAAGGAGGCGGTCAGCCGTCAGCCCAGGCCTGGGCCTCCAGCCCAGCTGTGCCGTCAGGCCTCCCGTGTGCCCTCTCGCAGCTGATAATGACGAGGTGTTTGGACGCCCAGGGAATGCAGGGTCAGAGCACAGACCGCCCCAGGTTCAAATCCCGCCACCACTGCCAGGCCAGTGGGCCTCGGGCAGGTCACAGCCTGCCTGAGCCTCTGTTTCTCATCTGCACCCCGGGAGTCACGTCCTCCTCTGGAGTGAGGACGGCTTGTGCTCAGCACAAAGCCTGGCCATCTCACTGGACAGATTGGGAAACTGAGGCTCAGAAAGGAAGGGGCCCTTGTCCAGGGTCCCAGCAGAGCTGGCCCAGCCCCCACCAGCGCCTGGAAGACAGGCAGGTGTTGAACACCCATTTCTGATTTTCAAAAACAAAACAAGCTTGTAACCAACTAGAAAGAGAGGGAACTCCTCTCTCGGGGGAAGGGAGGCGCCCCAAACCCCCCCGCCTCTCCCTGAGGGCCAGCTCTGGAAGCATCCTCTCTGACATCAGAGAAGACCAGGGGGCCCACCTCCACCGTTTCTATTCCTCCACACCCAGGTCTCGCCAGCCAGACCAACAGAGAGAAAAGGCAGCCATGCTGGTTATTTGCAGATGGTGTGACCCAGGAGGGGCTCTGCTCGCCCCTCCCCGGGGCCGGGCCGGCACTGTCTCATTTATTCCTCGAGCTAAGAGGGAGGGGTCCCTATGGGAGGCGCAGTCGGGGCTTGACCCTGGCTCTGGCTCACGCAGGGCCTGAACTCAGGCCTCTGTTCCTCCCAGGTCTGGGCCTCTGGGCTGGCTGTGCCCAATGCATGCACATCCTCTCTCCCACAGTCCTGCTTTGGTGCTCACACCCTGCTGCTGAGGCTTGGGGGGCAGCTCTGAACCTATAGCTCCATTGTCCTGACAGCACCCTCCCATTCAGTGCAGAAAGGATGGGACCAGCCTTCACAGGAAACAAGGCCTGTGACCCAGCTCCTGCCTGGGCAGGTGGGCTCCTTGGAGGCCAGAGCTGGGGGCCGTGGGGCCCCGGGGTTGTGGCCCTCACCATGCGGTACAGCTTGTCCTCCAGCTCCTGGTTGATCCTTTGCAGTGCCATGTAGTTGCTCTGAATCCTGGAACAGGAGGCAGTGGGTCACTGTGGTGCCAGGCCTGACCCTCCCGTGACCCCTCCAGCCACACTGCCCGCTGAGAAGCCCCCCTGAGCCCACCCACCGGCCCACCCTGGTCTAATTGCTCCTCTGCACACAGCAGAAAGCATCTGATCTAAGCTAACCTGTCGAGGCCTTTCCTGGGCCAGGGTCCAGGACCCCCTGGACACCAGAGGGGACGGCCTGTTATTCACAAGCAACTCGGACGGGTCCTCACTCAGAGCCAGTTTACTTGCATTTCACACACAGTTGCAGGCCTGGCTAATAACAGATTAGCAGGGAAGAGGCTTAAGACTGACTGTGTGATGGGCCTGGGAGTGAGTGCTAGAGACACGTGTGAAGGAGGGACGGTTCCCCCAGAGGACAGGTGAAGGCGGAAGGGGTTCGGGACAGTGTCGATCCTCTCGACACCCTGTGTGTAGTGTTATTGCCTCCATCTCGCCAGTGGGGAAACTGAGGCTAGAGGCGCCTAAAGCAGTAAGTGGCAGAGCCGGGACCTTCACCAAGATCTGACGGCACTACCCAAGCTTGGTTCCCGCATGACTCGATGTTGGCATCCAGAAAGCCCAGCAGGATGGCCTACCCCACTGGCAACTCCTGTCCAGGCAGCATCAGGTGATGCTCTATAAATACTGAAAACAAACCAGGCCAGCAGCGAAGTCTGCGTTCTCTTTGCATTCTTCCTAAAGGCAGGCTGGAAAGTGTGTAATATATTTTAGGAAAATATCCATCTTAAATGTGCAGAACAAAGTTTTCAGAAAAGTTTGGTTTTTAAGGGGGTAATCGCTCAGGATCCCGCACACCTCATCCCACACGTCACTCCCTGCCATGCTGCTCAAGGGAACGTCCCTAAACTCTGGTTCCTCTCCAGGGCTAGACAATGCTTTTCCTATCAAACACCCAGGGGACAGTGGCTGGGGCCCTGGTGGACCAGTTGGGGTCTGGAGACGGCCGCTTCTGTGTCATGGTGCCTGCTAAATATGAGAGAAGGAATCAGCAGGGGATGGAGAGGGGCCTGGGAAGAGCCTGTCCCTGGCAGCAGCCAGACCCGGGTTCAGATCCTGGCTTGGTGGCTCTTGGCACAAAGTGTGACTCTGGAAAAGGCGCTTGTCCTCACTGAGCCCTGGACTTCCCATCTGCGAATGGGGTCGACAGCTC